CGTTATGTGAGCAGTATGTTACGGGAATGATGGCTGCTAGAGTAAGGAAAGTGTAGGAATAACAAGAGACTGGTGTCTATCTTGGACGAGTAGTATTCGGTATCACATTGACTTTGAATAAATATCATCCTGTGTTGACTATACGGGCCTATTCCGGATAGCCGCTGAGCCTCCAAATCCTCTGGTAGCCCCGTGGACCTTGGTAGTCACTAACGCCTTCGAATTACCTTTACAATGTGCGTGCGAAATATACTTGGGCGGCGGGTTATAACAAAGGTTGCGAATGTATCGTAGGAACAGCAGGTTCATTGAACGGGCCGTATAAGAATATCAAATGGGGACGCACTCCCTTCTCCAGTTTTTCTCAAGACAAGACAGGGGCTTCACTACCGCATCCTCAGCAAGACAAATTCACCGTTAAATTCAGATATCACTCCGTAACTGCGTAGCAGGTATCTTAACAGCAGCCAGAATGACCCGACTCGCCGTCTTTGCCGCTGTTGCTGCTCTCTTCGCCGGACAGGCTCTAACTTTCCCTCTCTAGTGCGAAGTCAACGACCAGTACGGCGGATCTACCCTCCCTGCCGACCCAAGCAGTGACTGAGAATACCATCAAATTTGACGTTAAATGTGGTGGCAAGCCTGTTGGCCAAAATCTCTCTCTTGAGTGGAGTTCGAATATGTTTTCATTGACCTCGAATCATCTTTGCCTACATTTCTGCCCGAACGTGGGGTCCATCGACGATGGTCATACGATAAATTGGAATCGATTGTTAGTGTCCAAGTATAAAGTTAGTGGGACACGGACAAGGGCCGCTATTTAGGTGACTGGCGATTCAGCAGGATGCACACCGGAACAACCAACAAGCGTGCATGCTATGGCTAGATTCCTAGCTACCTTCCCAGCATGCCCTATGAAGCTGTCCTAACGACCCTCACCCGCAGGAAGCTCCTGAGGCTGCAGAGTAGTATAACTTAGTTCCTGCGGCCTCGAATGACCGTGCAACTCAGCCTGATTACCCCAATATGTGTTTCCGTACTTTTCAGGTGCGAGCTGTTCATGCATGGTACTGTTCACGACTGTCACTGGCAGTTTCTTGCGCTTGTATAGAAGCCAAAGCCCGCTTGAAAGGATAAGAGCCACAATGCCGACACTTAGTCCGACTCCCAGCCCGATACCGAGTCTGTTGCTGGCCTTGCCGCCGTTGTCAGATGAAGCAAGTTGACTTTGAGCTGATGATGGGCCGCTGTATCGGTCGATGGTGAACTTGCGGCCATTGGTATGGCCGAATTCGACATGTTACGAGAGGTGGACGAAGTAGTAGCAGAAGGGGCCTGGCTCGAAAGTGTGGTGAATATCGACACGGCCGTTAGCGAGAAAGTCTGAGTTGAGTTCGTACAATCGCAGCCCTGGAGACCGAAGCAGCAGAAGAGGTTGTCCCCGCATGGCTGAACGCCGTTCCCTCCTGCTGGCATCCCATGTAGGTCAGCTTCAGCCCTCAGGTAGAGTATCAGGTAGTCTAGCCCCCCCCTATTACTAGTACATACAGGAGAGGCACCGATTTGGACAAACCGACACCGAGCCATTGGCTCACCCGGGCACGGTTCAATCGCCTCTGAAGTAGGGCGTGAGCGTGCCTTGGATATTTGCCACGCAGAGCCCATTGCTGGCGCAAGAGTCGCCAGCCGCGCAGCACTGCGAGCCGTCAGTCTCTTGCGAGCAGGCGAGACTGTTGGAACGTTCGTTGTCATATCTGTCGTAGCATTTGGTCATCTTGCGCCATCATGCCAAAGGGAGGCGGGAAACCCGCTGATTTGAGGGAGCTGAAACGTCTTTGAATAAGAAAGTTGACGTTGCAGTATAGTCGCACCTGCGTTACTGCGCGGTATAGTCTAAAATTAGGAGTGGCTTCGCCCCTTACGCTAGACTTTTAGCTATAGTAAAGTGATTTACCTAATACGGTAGACTTTGCTAGAATTCTTTGCCGGGCAGCGGGTAGGCAGACTTTAAGCTTCAATCTTGTTCATTACCTCGCTTAGCCGCATGTTTGTTAAGTCGTTGCACTGTTAGTAAAGCCTTCCATATATAGTGCATGTATATAGTGACATGAGAAACTTGTCATTTTTCTCGTACCCCAGAGACGAAGAGCATTTAACGTCCAACCCGGTTATAGTCGATTATATAAATTCGGCTGATAGAAGGATAGATAAAAGATAAATTACTGTATATATGTTGTAGACAACCCCTCTCGTCTACTTCGGAACATCTCTCATGGTAGGTATAGATCTTGGTGTCACCGCCCAACCCGTAGTAGGAAGCGGCACTGACATATCTTCCAACCTGGGTCATCTCGCCCAGAGCTTGAGATCTAAACATGCTACCATGCGTGACACATAACAAAGACGTCACGATTGCGCTCTGGGCATCATGGCCACCGACTAGGTGATTCATGGTGTGCTCCGCCGATGAATCGAAATGAAAAGACAGAGATCAACGAGCAGTATATTGTTCTACCCGAAACTAATGCAACTGCCAAGGGTATCAACTCTCACACAATTGTTGATCGCAAGCAATCATATGGAATCTTAGCAGCGACGCCGACCTGCCTGAATGGGTGTCTAATGCTGAATGTCAAGACTCCGAGCGCAGGGTCAAAATCAAGTAAAGGCGTTTCCTTGGCGTCCTAGTTCTCCTCCCGGAAGCGCAGCCAAAAACGCCCTAATCACCGATACTTTCTCAATATCCCATTCCATCGTAATAGTACACAGTTATCCGTCTAAACCACGGCAACTCCTCCAGCGAAAAGCAGAAGACGGTGCCCCTGGCTTTGCCGATCAGTGGGCCGTCGCAAGTGGTGGGAGAGAGCAGATTAGACAGACGGCTCCAACCCAGTTTTCGGCGACGCAGTCGTATAAGTCCATGGTTGTTTCGTATTTGGCTTCATCACCCAGGAATGACGCGGTTCAAAAGGCGCCATTTCAGGGACCGGATCATGCAGAAGTACACCCGGTCTAGTCACTGTGCGATAGCAAAAATTCAACCAGCCATGGATACCCTACATCTTGCTGTACGGGACAATCGCTGCATCAATGACAGGTGGGCGGCGGTGTGTGGTCTCGCTTTCGGGGCCCCATTTTGCCTTCCACTCGTTCTCCTGGTCGAGTGCTTGTGTGAAAGCTTGTCGGCACTCCGGCGGAAGAAGGTCCTTGATGTCGTCGGAGATGGCGCCAAGACCTTGAAAGTCTTTCAAGAAAGCAGGAACAGCGTGCTGCTGGTAGGCCGCGGATGCGATGCCAGCAGGAGGCGATTCCATGACGGTGTCGATAACCTTGAAGTTGCGAGGAATCTTGGGATCCAACGGCTTGAAGATCTGGCTCTCGGACTCAGCTGAAGAGTCGGCGATTTGTATTATGCGAGCATGTGTAGGCTGCATGCTGGCAGGAAACTGCATCATGTTGGTATGCACATCATAGACACCTCGATTATTGCCGCGACGAATGGCACCGATCTCAGCATTAAAAGTGCTAGAGAATTGTTAGCTGGCAATGGACCCACGTAAACTAAACAAGAAAAGGACAACTTACCTTGCGGCGCGGGCATGCTCGAGCTGCCAATTGGAGTCCGTAACCGTAACACGTCTCTTCTTGACTTCACCCTTGCCATTCGGCATGGGCACCGAGGGTGCTCCGGAATGGTAGACTGCACTCGCTCCAAACCATGCAACATACTGGTTCTTGTTGTACTCCTCTCCCGGGACGATCCTGTCACTGGGGTCGGCGAGTTCGCCCTCGACAGCACCCTCTGCCCTTCGCAATGCCTCCTCGTAATCGTCGATGATCTTGCGTCCACCAACAATAATCAGGGCGCCAAACTCGCGGAAGACCGACCGGGCCGTAACGATGCCGATAGCTCTGCCTTTGTAAGAATGCGGGATGATTTCGCGCTCGATCAGATCACGCTTCTCGTCGTCATCAATGATGATCTTGTAGAGGCGCTTATGCTTGGTGAAGAAGAGGTACGAGTCCCTGAAACCAACACATCGCGCAGGCTCAGTGGACAGCATGTAGAGCCTATCGCCGCGGCCATGGACTGTAAAAGTACGGCAACGGTAATCACGACCATCGCTGAGGTTGCCCATCTTGTCAACCTTAGTCTCTCCCTCAAGATCCTCAGGCAAGACAACCTCGTCGTCAACAATGTCTGCCATGGTTCCATCCTTGTCGATACTCTGTTGGGTGGGTTTGAAGGACTGGCCCTTTCGGCCGCCTCTGCCGCGATAGCCTCCTCTCCCTCTCCGTCGTGGGGTCTCATTGGGGTCACGATTGGGAGGTTCAATGGGAAGAGTATCCCAATCAGGCGGTCGGTTCTTGGGCGGGCGTCCTAGTCGTCGCCTTCTGATGACGGGTTGAGGGGGGGGTGTAGGCGATTTGGGCGAGGCAGGTTCGGATTCGCCATCTTGGTTCTCCTCCTCTGGTTCAGCTGCGGAATCTCCGTCTTGGTCGTCTCCATCAGCCTGCGGCTCGATCTCGGAAGTTTCTGCCTCTGCATCTGGCATTGCCTCATCCTCAATGTCGTCGAACGCTCGCGGGGTGCTCTCTGTAGATGGTCAGTGGATGCTATTTGGCAATGCGATGCGATGCGATGCGATGCGCGGCGACAGAGAACATGGTGAGGAGGGATGCGTACCTAACTTCTCAGCTGCGCGCTTGGCGGCAGCACGACCTGAGCGGCGGCCCATCCTGCGAGTATTGACTGAGGCAGAGTCACTATTCGAGGGTTTTGTATACGATGATGCCTGCCTATGGCGATGTATTGCTATCAGGAATCAACGTGAGGCCGGATCTGTGTCGCAACTGGAAAGCACGAGTTGCCTTGACGCGGTGGAAATGCGTGGGTCGCTGTGGGGAATGTCGTTTTTTGCAATTACTGGGATTGGTCCGTGCAGTACTGTGTCGATCTTATAATATATATGTAATAAAATCAATCTATCACCACAATCGGTGAGATGGCCGAGTTGGTCCATGGCGCCAGGTTAAGGTAAATCTTAACATCGTTTCCTGGTGGGGAAACCCTCGTGGGTTCAAATCCCACTCTCATCAATGTAACTTTTTGATTTTGCTGTCCCCTCCGCACTTTTTTGATCCCTTGTTCAACACAAAGTGCATCTATGATGATAATTGAGAGTGTGATTGAACACTTCAAGTTCTTCTCTTCGCTTCTATAATTTTGCCAGGTTGCTCGACACTGGAGCGATGTGACTCGGCAGCAGATTTCCATCCGGTTCTGCCATGCCGTTTGTAACGATCCTCAAGTTCGGCGTCATCAAGCCCAGGGATGAGATCCAAATCATGCATCTTCAATTGAATCATCTTGCCTCTTACCAGTTCTTCATCACCACCTCGATCAATCTATACAATATGTTCTATCTCCTTTCCCTCAAAAAATGCTGTATTATTGCCGCTCCTCTACTGCATGTCCCTCCATAGGTGCACGGCCTGCGAAGTACCGCCAGCACTTCCAATAGGAGGCCATCTATGAACTGCTTTCCACTTGATACACTTCTTTGAACCGAAAGCCACTTGCTTTACGACTACACTCATGTCCAAGTCTATTCGCTAACATTTGTTGATCATGAGTTCCGTCTACAAGATAAAATCGAAATCAACCTTGGGCGGCATATTGTCTAAAGGTTGATTCCCTATACCTGACATAGCACCTGGTCCTCCGCAACTAGTAACTCTACGATATCCGTAGGTACTGAGCAAGTCATGCTTTTCCAACGGTGATGTCGCCACCCTGCTTCTCCTGGATCTGTTTCACATGCTCCTCGGCGATCACATCAGCCGGGATACGGTCTGGCGTGCTGTTCACCAGCATAAGCATGGGGAGCAACGCGGCTGCCATGAGTCCGAATGACAGGCAACTAAGAGATTATTCATTCATTAGTTTCGTTCGCAAGAAACAAGCTTGTGGGATATCGTGGGAGAACATACAATCCAACAAGCGGACTGGTCTGGGCTGTAGTGTTGATCCCATAGGAAATTGCCTGGCCGACAGCTTCGAGGCACCGGAATGCGGCTCCGTTACGAACGTTTGCTATTCTAGTGTTAGTACCCCTGCTCTTCACCCCCTAAATCATCTCTTGAAAACCCACATTGTGCATCCGTCGCAAAGGATGAAAGGAGCCAGTACATGTACGACTGCGACAACGGCCCCGTCGTCTGGACGAAGAAGTACGGAAGAAAAGACGAGGCATACAGCCCCTCATCCCAGTCGATGGCACCCGGGTTGTTGGCATCGAACCGCGCCTGCATGACGATGGACCAGATGTACACGCCCATGTTAAGTACGACGACAGTAAACAGACCGAGCTGGGCTCGCCTGCGCTGGCTCAGTGATTTCATGTCCAGGATGAAGCCCAGGCCAAAGCATCCAACGATGCAGAGAAAGGGCGAGATGAGCGAGGACAGGGCCCGGGCTCGCACCGAAAAATACGTGCCGAGGTACGTGGACCAGGATCCGCTGTAGAAGAAGGACCAGATCGCCCAGAGCGCAGAGAGTAGGATTAGTTTAGAGGTCATGGTGAACCTGATCCGCTTGAATTCGTCCTTGGTCGAGAGCTTTTCCGAGACTAGGATGCGTGTCCCGTCGGAGCGGACGACTCGTTCCAAGGGGGAGATGAGGAGGGCGAAGGGGAAGGCCAAGCACTCGATGATCATGAATGCGACGTAGGTGTCGGGCGTAACTCCGCCCTCAACGCCCTTCAAGTAGTTTTTGGAGAGATTGATCGCGCCCCCAACGAGCTGTCCTAGGTTGCGGGCCACGATCCACAGAGCGAGGTACTTTCCGCGCGCTCCGGACGGCGCAAGCGACATGATGCAACCGGACTCGGCTACGTACCAACATCCGGTACCGATGCCGGTGAAGAAGCCACCGAAGATGAGATACCATTGAGTCCCGAACTTGCTATTGCAATAGTACGAAGAACCCTGAATGGGGAACGAGATGGCACCGATGACGAGCGCCCACTTCACCCCGAGCTTGTTCACGATGGGACCTCCGAGCAAACAGACTGCATGGCAGGTATATCAGCATGTCTGAATAGACACGGACTCAGTCCAAAGGCGAAAGGTATACGTACCGGTGGCGAGCATACTGTAGCTAATGGCAGTAGCAGTATTGGATGTCTGAGGAGTAGCCAAACCACCACCACCAAGACCTTTTCATGGAAGCCGATCAGCCGCAGTCCCAATTGCCTCGAGTTAAGAGGAAACAGTACATAGCACTTACCAGCGATCGCATCTGCCATGGCAGGCCCACAGAAGGCCTGCACACTTAACAGCATCATCTGCGTCAAGCTGTGCTGATACACCCGCTTCCAACGCGGAACGTCACGCGCATAAGCGTCCATATCAACGAGCTCATTTGCATTGTTGGTGGCGTTCATGGGCAAGTCACCCTTCGCGCGGAGAGCATCATCGTTGCCCCCGGCGTGGGTGTTGGGAGGCGCCGCATCGAAGTCGGCCATGGTCAAGGATTGTCTAACTGACTTCCGGGGATATGATCAAGATGCAGAGTCAAGGACAGGCACATAAGAAACAGAGGAGAAGCCATATTCATGGGTTCTAGCGAGGCCATTAAATAAGATCTTCACATGTATATACGAATCTATACAAGAGGATATAGCGCTGAGCCTAAACAATCAATGCTTGTCAGACGTTCTCCAATCTCGGTGCTACTGTAACTACTTAGCTTATCTGCGGGATATCTGCTGGAGTAGCTGGCAATCAGGGGACGGGTTCGCCGTCTAAACCCCATTAGGTGAGTCAGGGAGTCGGAATACGTTTGATTGGCTGCTACTCCAACTCGTTCCTGGCACGCTGGAAGGTCCAGGCGAAGGATTTTCGGCGGGTACAACTTCGCCGACAGCCAGGATGGGCGGGGAACTCTGCGCTATGTGGCACTTGCTATGGCATTATTCTCGGCATCGTTCGATATCACGATGGGAACGCAATGGTATCAATAGCTGTCATAATTACCACAAGCATAGCTGTTGCAAGGCAAGGTCCACCCAAAACAGCGTCGACGTGTGTTGGGAATACTTCTGGGGGTACTACGTATGTTGAATGTTGCTTGCCGAAGTCTTCGGGGTAACAGTACGGTGGTATTTATCCCTGTCGACTTAACCCACTCAGGTTAAGATCATAATCCGGGGTATCGGCAGACCACTATTGTAAGTGGTCAGATAACGCCGAATACCCGCTTCATGCCGGGACACAAGGGTTTGTATTCCGATACTGGTCAAACTAACGCCGTGGAAGATATCGAGCCGGGCTCGCTGAGACATATCGTAAGATCGGCTACTCGGCTGGACCTTTCTGCTTGGAAGAGGTGTATCTTCACGAGTCCTTATCTCTCGAGGATTTGTTCGCAGCTTGCCCCATCGTTCCTCATACACCAAAACACGTACTAGACGCCCCGACCAGAAAGACATAGAGAAGCAAATACTACGACTCTTGCGACATGGAATCTTCACGCGCAAATAGGAAAGTGATTGTGGTTGGCGGTGGAGGAACCATGGGGTCGTCGACTGCTCTGCACCTCATCCGGTCCGGGTACACGCCGTCGAACATTACCGTCCTCGACACGTTTCAGATACCCTCGGCGCAATCTGCCGGAAATGACCTGAACAAGATCATGGGAGTCCGGTTACGCAACAAGGTCGACCTGCAGCTCAGTCTGGAGGCAAGGGAAATGTGGAGGAACGATGAGCTGTTTAAGCCGTACTTCCATAATACTGGCAGAGTGAGCTTTGTGAGATATCCTTGTTTTTCACTGGGTTGATCGCTGATGACCATGTGGATTAGCTTGATTGTGAAGGGTCGGAAACTGGAATTAAGGGTCTTAGGCGCCAATACCAGGCCCTTATTGATGCCGGTGCCGGGCTGGAGCAAACGAATCATTGGTTGGATTCCGAGGATGAAATTCTAACGAAGATGCCGCTTTTACAGCGTGATCAGATCAAAGTGAGATCTCAGCTCAGCAATGCGAGATCTGGAACATGCTAATTGGGTATTAAATCATGTAGGGATGGAAAGCTATATTCAGCCAAGATGGAGGTTGGTTGGCTGCTGCTGAGGCGATCAATGCAATAGGAGAGGTACTCAAGGAAAAAGGAGTCAAATTTGGATTTGGCGAGTAAGGAAATCCTCGAGTCCGTCTCACCCCTATTCGCGACTAATCGGAGACCGAAGCGCTGGCTCCTTTAAACAGCCTCTTTTCGAGCACGATGGAGTTACGTGCATTGGCCTTGAGACGATAGATGGGACCAAGTATTATGGCGACAAGGTGGTGCTTGCTGCTGGAGCTTGGAGTCCGACTTTGGTAGACTTGGAAGACCAGTGTTGTTCGAAGGTGGGTAGGGAAAATGCTGCAAGATACTGAAGCCCTCGAATACATTTTGAACTTAACACTGACGGGGCATCAAAGGCATGGGTCTATGCCCACATACAGCTAACGAAGGCGGAAGCGGCCGAGTACAAGGGCGTGCCTGTCGTCTACAATGGGGACATTGGTTTCTTCTTCGAGCCCAACGAGTACGGAGTAATCAAGGTGTGCGATGAGTTCCCCGGCTTCTCTCGGTTCACGAAACATCAGCCGTACGGCGCCGACGCGCCCAAGAACATCTCCGTCCCCCGGTCTCACGCCAAGCACCCTACCGACACCTACCCGGACGCATCCGAGGTCACCATCAAGAAAGCTATCTCAACGTACCTTCCCCGCTTCAAGGACAAGGAGCTCTTCAATCGAGCCATGTGTTGGTGTACGGATACCGCGGATGCGGCACTGCTCATATGCGAACATCCGAAATGGAAGAACTTGATCTTGGCCACAGGAGACAGCGGGTAAGTATCTCATTCAATCGAAAATACAACAATTTGTGAGAACCCTGCTGACGACTTCAGACATTCATTCAAACTCCTCCCAAGTATTGGCAAACATATCGTTGAACTGATAGAGGGGACTTTGTCGCAAGACCTCACTGATGCATGGAGATGGAGACCGGGAGGTGATGCGCTGAGGTCCAGACGCGGCGCGC